TACTGGTCCTTTAAATTATAATCTATTTTAGATTCAGTGCTTGTTTGGGAGGGATTTTTGGGGGAAGAATTGATTTTGAATAGTGATATGATGGGAAATGTGTGGTTGAAAAAGAAGAAAAAATTATTGATGCGATGGAAAATATTATTTTATTGAAGAATGTGTGATTGAAAATGAGAATTGATTTACTGTAGAATTTTGAGAATCCCTCCCAAACAGGGCCTTAATTAACAAATCCTTGAAAAACAAGTTCCAGACAATTATTTTCTCTGAAATTCATTATTTTTCCATCCATTTTCCACCCTTACAATCAAACGGACCCTAAGTAAAACATATTTTTATATTCACGCATCAAAATAACTTACTTTTTAATAAAAAAAATACTTTGTAAGGGTAACTATAACTTTACTGTAGATAAAGTAACTTAATTAACTAAAAAATATTTGATAAAAGCTTACTTATGAGTTGACATTTTAAGATTAGCCGAATATTCTTAATATGGTTATATTGCTGGTAATTTGGTCCTAAATGCTAAGATGATGACACCTAGTTTAAAGGCAGGTCATGTATCATTATAAGAAGTTGGATTTTATTGTTAGATATGTACATCTAGCATGACATTTTCCTCTATGCGAAGGAAATCTTGTAATGATGGGGGAATCAATGGTGTAAATCATGTTATGAAAGAGTGTGTTTTGTTGTAGGTTATTGGTTTCTTGCTACTTAGAGGTCTCGCTTGCTTTCCACCAACTCCTTCACTTTGCAAATGCGCATGGTCTTCACATAAAGACCACTTTGGGCAAGCTTCACCTATTGAGAAACCTCTTGTAACTTAGGATGGGGACGGAATATGACAGGATCATGACAGTTATTTCCATCCTCTGCCCCCATCAAATATTTTTGTCTCATTGCCCCGTCCTAATAACCAATTAGGGGCGGGACTGGCTCTCCCGCCCTGTTTATTACCCCCATTTATTTTTTTCTTAATTTTTTTTGCTTATATTTTTAGTTGTAGAAAAAACAATATTTCCTCTAAAAATAATTATGATTATTTTCTTTTTGTATAATGAAAATTTTGTATTTTAAAATGAAATTTAAACGGAACAAGTGACGAGGTGAGGAACATGTTCTCCATACTCGCCCGCCTCCCTCTACTGGGCAACAACCTCCGCCTCATCCTTGCTCCTTGTGTACTCGAATAGGCAAGGAATCTACCCGCAAAATCAATACAAGTAGGGATGCTAGCCAATCAACCATGTAGATACACAAAATATGGCAAAGTCACTCATCAGAATGTTAAGGTATCGGGTATAATGGATTTTTTTGTCATCCATACTTGCCGTTCAAGTTGAGGTGATGAATGCCAAGAGCTTCGGTAGGCAAGGACCAATTGGTGAAGTTTCCCAAATTTTCATGTCATGATAACTTGGTATTTGAAGTGTAGGGTCCATGACTTTATATAGCCCTTGTTTGGTAAAAATTAAAATTTAAATCAAAGTCAACAATTAACTTTAATCACACATTTAATGAGATCCACAACTTTTGAACCACACATTACCCAGTTAGGGCAGGGCGGGCTCCCCTACCCTATTTATTGTCCCATTTATTTTTTCTTAATTTTTTTAAAAATTTTTTGCTTTTATTTTTTTAAATATGTTTAGTTGGTGAAAATCATTACTTTTTTTTTTTCAAATTGTAGAAAAATCATTATTTCCTGCAAAAATGGTGATGCTTATTTTATCTGTGTGATGAAAAATTTATATTTTGAAATGAACTTTAAACGGGACAAGTGACAAGGCGAGGAACATGTTCTTCGTACCCACCCGCCTCCCTCTTCGGAGCAAAAACCTCCATCCCATCTCTACCCCTTGTGTACTCGATTAGGCAGGGAATCGTCCTGTAAAATCAATACAAATAGTGGGATGCTGACCAATCAACCATGTAGACACACATAATATAGTAAAGTCACTTGTCAGAACATTAGGGTATCAGGCATAATGAATTTTTTTGTCATTCCTACCCACCATTCAAATTGAGGTGACGAATCTTGAGAGCTGGCACGCAAGGGCTAATTGGTGAAGTTTCCCAAATTTTTATGCCATGATAACTGGGTATTTGAAGTGTAGGGTCTATGACTTTATATAGCCCACAAAATTTAAATTCAAGTCAAAATCAACAATTAATTTTAACCATACATTCCATGTCACCCACACAACTTTTCAACATTACATTTCATAGCTTTTATCAAAATTTACTAAAAATCTGATACTAATCCCGCAACAAATAGGGGCTTGACAAAGAAACCACCCTCTTGATCCCTAAATATTCATTGTAGAATCTTTTGTCAAAACTCATGAGAAGAAATATGAGAGAATAATCGCTAGTTAGGTAACTCTATATGTTAAGGAACACTATCAGACAATTCTCAATTCTAAATCCTAGCCGAAATTCTGTCTACATGTCTCTCTCATCTCTTTGTTCTTATATTTGTCAGTATTTGACTTGATCGTCGATAAGGGTAGGAAGTAGGGTGAGCCGTTCGTCGATCCAACTATCCAACTAACGAGTCAAGTAGTGTTTCTATGAAATGAGCTGGCTTGTCCAACTAGCTTATGAGTGAGCCTATGAGCGGCTCATTTCTTGACTAGCGAGCCGAGCTTGTTTTCGACTTGTGAGCGAGCCTATAGATAAAGAATGCGGGCCCAGCATGTAAAGTTTTTCAGTTGTGCATGCTTCTAATCAATGGTAAATCATAGAGGCTATCTCTCTTTGAGAAATAAAAAATGGGATTAAATTCCAATTTCCAATTCCAATTTTTTTTTTTTTCCTTCCAATTTTTGCCTATAAATAGGCATTCTTCCAGGAAGTAATTCCTCACACTTCAATTTCCTTTCGCATTTCATCTTCTTTGTCACTTCATGTGTCATCTCTTATTCATTTGTAATAGTAAGATTTTATTCAGGTGCTTATAATGATTACAGGCCCGGTCCTGAGGCGAGGCGGATGAGGCCTGCGCCTCAGGCCCAAAACTGGAGGGCCTTCATTTTTTGCCCAAGTTTTTTTTTCATTCCTTCCTCCTAAATTAATCAAATGGAAATTTTCATTCTATCCTTCCCTTCAACTCCAACCGCTGTGACTCCAACTCCGGTCTCTCCTTCCCTTTTTTCCTCCAGCTCTTCCATTTTCCTTCACTCTTTCACAAATCACAATTCACAAGATTCACATTTCAAAATAATAGAGAAAAAATCACTCGACCCTTTTTTCAAACCTAACCGCACGAGTTGCTAGTCGAGGTTGACCATCGACTGGTTGTTACTATGCTTCTGTTGGTACTTCCACCAGTTTCATAGACCTTGGATTAACTACAGCCAGTTTGATAACGATGGTGATGAGTCTGATTCTGAGCAACTAATTTTTGTTGTTGTTGTTGTTATTACTCAACGTACAACTCCGGTCTTCTCTCCTCTGAAGTAGAATCAACATAATCTGAGATTCTGAATAACAGCAGCGCACACATATTGTAATTAAGAATTCAATTTACACCTTCCTGAAAATAGCACATTTTTACATATTATACGGAAAACTTCAACCTAAAAGGCAAAAATAAGTGATCTTTTCTTCCACAATTACTTGAATTAAGGGGCTTTTGCGGCGGTAATTTGCCTTCTAATCTTTCAATTCGGAAAGTGATGGGGAGATTGATGTCGCAGGATAAAAAAA